GCTTGGAGCAACCTGGTCTAGTGGAAGGTGTCCCTGCCCTTGGCAGGGGGATTGGAACTAGGTGGTCTTTAAGGTCCCTTCCAACCCAAACCATTCTGTGATATCTGGACAGTTGATCAACAATTCTTTTTACCAGTAGACTTCCTGTGCTTTTTGTTTAAGTGGCAAAATACATTGGCAATGATATGTTGCTTCAGAGTTTAAAGTGAAACTAGATCGTAAAGGTGTATCTCCTACATCAAGAATTAGATGTCAATAAAAGCTTAAGGGTTACGTACCACTTGTGTGTAGTCCTAGCATAAAACAAGGCTACCAGCTTTCTCGGAAGTTCTTTGAAGGGGGAATAAACTCTTGAGTAAAACCTAATCCAGTTTTGAGGTAAGGGAAAAATTAAATTCTAAAATTCAGCTTTATAATGTATATAGTTGTCCTGGGTTTGGCTGGGATAGAGTTAATTTTCTGCCTAGTGGTTGGTACAGCTGTGTTTTGGATTTAGTGTGAGAATAATGTTGGTAACACAACTGATGTTTTAGTCGTTGCTAAGTAGTGCTTATCTTAAGTCAAGGATTTTTCAGTTTCTCATGCTCTGCCAGGTGCACAAGAAACTGGGAAGGGAGCATGGCCAGGAGAGCTGACCTGAACTAGTCAAATGGATATTCCATGCTGTAGGATGTCATGCTCAGTGCATGAACTAGGAGGAGCTGGCTAGGGGGAGATGTGGGCTGATCCCTGCTCAGGGGCGGGCTGGGTGTCAGCCTGTGGGTCGTGAGCAATTGCGTTGTGCATTTCTTGTTTTTCTTGGGGTTTATTTCTCTCTCTTTTTGTTATCTTCCTTTTCGTTACTATTATTATTTTTATATTTTATTTTATTTCAGTTATTAAACTGTTCTTATCGCAACCCACAAGTTTTACTTCCACGCACACACCCCCCGATTCTCCTCCCTGTCCCCACCAGTGTGGGAGGAGTGAACAAGCAGCTTTGTGGTTCTTAGTTGCTGGCCAGGGTTTAACCACAACAGTAGTCATTATGAATTTTTTTTTTTTTTTTTTTTACCTCCACTAATTTAGAGATTCTTAGGATGACCTGAAAGTCATTCAGTATCTGTAGAATGACGTGTTTTGAAAACCAGCAAACGTAAAGGGCAGGAACAGGAGCTTTAGTCTATTTGTCAGCAGAGTGAAGATAGAATGATTCCTTTGCCATGTAGTTACCAGCCAGTTCACTGCAGGGTTTGGGTTTTGTGTTGGTTTTGTTTGTTTGGTTTGGTTTTGGTTTTTGTTTAGTATTGCATTTATTTCTTTTGTTTCTTTGACAGCAGTTCATTCATTGCGATGACGTTTATATGCCTGTTCCGTTGTTTAATCTTTTTTTTTCTACAGAGCAGTGAACAAGGAAGTCACTTAGAACAGCGAAATGACACAAACCCTTTAATACTACTTTTAGTAATATTTTTTTTTTAAAACTTGATCTACTTAGCTTCCTAATTCTCCAGCTTCAGAGGCCTCATTTGGAAGGAAAGGAAGTCCTATGAAAATAATCCCATTCCTAGCAGCAATAAGAGTGTCTCTGACTCTGCTCTGGGTCATGATTTTTGTTCAATTTCTGTGTTGTTAAATACATAACAAGAAGTAGGCTACATTCAAAGCTAGGAAAATCCTATGCAGCTGCACTTAACCTGTTCTCTCTTAGCTTAGTACCATCCCAGTTAATGCTCAACTTTGAGCATTTTTATTGCTGCACTGAAAGAGTATCAATGTGTATTTTTTGGTGAAGAAAAAAAAAAAAGACTTGGCAACAAAACTGATATATATCCTTGTGTTTTGTAAGCAAGAATGCACATGAAATTGAAACAGGCAAATATGTGTCAGATAATAGTTACATTACATTTACAGTAACTTTATTAGGTACCTATTTTTTGAGTTTTAAACTAATTCCCACTGATAGTTGCATGTTTGCAAAGAGGATGACTTGGGACAGGAAATAGTCTTAAAGGCTTTCTAAAACCCTAGGTGATCTCCATAAATGGGAGTAAACTTCGCTGTAAACAGTCCCCCTTTTTGTTGGACTTAATGCATATGAGATTGTCCCTTATGTTCATTTTGTTACTATGAAGCAAATAAAAAATTAGTAGTTGCTTTCAAAACAGATTTCACTCGTGTTTTGAAAGGCAAACAGTTGTAATGTCCTTTGTTTGGGATTTAGCAACTTCTTTGCAGTAGCAGCAAGTGCATGTGTGTACGTATGTGCGTATATATCTCAAGCCATAAAAGCCTTTCTCTTGTCATCTTTTACAGAAATTTTTTCTTTCCTATCACACTTGCACAGAGACAGTGATTATTTTGTGTGAGGCTAGGATTCACCAATCCGTTTTGTTAGCATACTAGCGCTGGTGCGTGGATATCTACCTTGGTAGTGGTAGCAGCTGCTCTAATCTTTCCACTCTGTATGTCCTCCTTGGTGTTTGGGTTTTTTTCCTGTCTTCATTGCATTTACCACCTTAATGGCATCACACTCCAACTGTACACCTTGCCTCATAGTGCCTTGTCCTTTCTCCTCTATACTGAATTTGGGTGAGGGCATAGCTTTATAGATTACTCTTTCTTTCTTTTTCTTTTGAAAGTCTCAGAAAATAAGTGTGCCAGTATTTTCAGCAGTAAATATTTTATAAATAAATTATGCTGACAATAAAAATACTGAACTGTTGTTGGTGACTTGTGAAACAGCCTGTTCTTTTTCATAGATACCGTGTTTTTCCATTTGCCACCGAGATGTGGGGACCGAACCACAGTATATGGCGTCTCTTGCTATAGGCAGATTGAAGCAAAGGTAACTTTACAAGTGGTGAATTATATTAATGAAATAATAGGCTTGAAGCATTAACAACCCTAAAATTCAGTAGCTTGTATTACACCAACAGCTTAAAAACCAAAAAAATCTGTAAAAATGTGCACAGTAGATAGCTACAGAGCTCAAGAGCTATTTCTTTCCGTTTTGTCAGCAGGCATATTGTGATCTTTTGAAATGTTCAGGGCAATTGAAAAATACGGTTTGGTTCTTGAGAGCTAATCCAGGCATCAGCACCAAGTAGCAAAATGAAGCTGTCAGGCAGCTAAGTCACGTTCCTAGTAAGTAGGCCACTTGGGTGGAAAAAGTTAAAATTTCTTTAGTGTGTGACTGTGAAGAATTTTAGAGTATTTCCTGGGATCTGACCATGCAAGTGTAGGGGTGTTTCTCTTTACCTACCTCCTTTGCCAAAAGTACGCTTTGCAGAATAGACCAGAATCCTACCATTCATTGTAGCTACTTAGCAGTACTGAAGTCGGCAGTAAAGCTGAAAAATGGATGAGAGCTACAGTGTGCACCTGATCACACTGAGGAAATAATGTGCTTGATCTACTAGAATCTGCCCGTGTTTTCAACAGGAGTAACGGTAGTATGGTTTGTGCAGTTACAACTGAGAAGTTATTACAGACATCTTTAAAAATCACTCCCTTTTCCAGTGAAATGCCAAGAATCTGGAATGCCTTGCAAGTTTGAGTTTTAAATGAAGGAGGCAATTATGCTGAATACTGCTTTAGTGTTAGTCATACTTTGATTATATTTAGAGTTCCTGTTTATGCTATAGGAGAAATTTTACACACGCAGATTTTAGTTCCATTTCTTTGAACTAAATCGATGTTGATTTTTAGTTTGGTTATCTTTGCAGCCAGTTTCACTGTATTTTAGAGTCTTGCTGTATTTTAACTATTCAATAACTTGGCTTTATGATGCTTTTGATTCCAGTTTATGCTGTTTAGTAACCAATTAAGAAGATAAATTGATATTTAAAATGAGCTCTTTGGAACAAGTAAATATAAAACAGTGTGTTTCATGCGAGAGCTCTAGCACTCTTTCCATCTGTCCTTTTTGATGCGTAGGCTGCAGTCCGCACACTTGGTGTTTTGTACAATTGAGTGAATCACTTGGCTGTGTTTCTGCCCCCACCCTTTCTAGGTCTGCTGTTAAGTGCTGGGACCTTTTGGTCTGGCTGAGAATGTAGTTGATTCTGCAGATGAGGTGTCTCAAAGAAAATCCTGGAGTATAAAGCAAACAATTTCTAGGCAAAGACTTTTCGACCTGGTCCATTTTCACCAATAATGTTAGAGAAGAACAAGTGATGTGTTGTGGCTTCTCTTCTGTTACGTAACCCTGAGTTAAAATGGCATTGCTTTTTCTAGGGCTATTGCCTTTTTCTCATGCTAGTGTCTTTTAAACAGTCCTCTGCCTATCTTCACATCTGTATGTGGATCTTTGCTGTGCACAGTGAGACGGGAACACAACTCTTGGCATATTGGTGTTATGACCATTTTTACTAGCTAAGGGCATGCTGTTGCATGGTTTGGGTATTCCACCATTGAAGGCAGTCAGTTTTAGGATTTTGTTTAAATAGGGCAGTGATATGTAGCAAGTAGACCCATGAAAGAATACTTTTTGAAATTATATGTGGGTAAAAATACTGTGATACTTCTGTTTTTTAGGCATTAAAAGTACGACAAGCAGACATCACCCGAGAAACAGTACAGAAAAGTGTCTGCGTTCTCAGTCAGCTGGTAAGAATGTTTGTTTAGCTCCCAAAACACTTTCAAATAAGATATTAAAATTTATTTGGTTTCCAAGTTCTTACTTGGTTCCAAACAGCTCTCTCTAAATCATTGCAGAGGGTAACAAAATGCTAAAGTAAAATTGAATTGGAAAGCTATGGCATTTGAGAGAGCTGCCTTGAATTGGCATCTCCTTGTAAGAGTAACTGTAAAAGTGTCTGCCTTTTGTCAGGGACTGGGATACGTATTTGCACTTTTGATTATTCTTAAGTGCTACTAACTTTATTTCATGTAGTAGGATTGAGGAGTTTGGCCATTATTATAACTGTAAACGAGGCTTTAAGACAGTCATACATACAGCAAACTCCTATTTTGAAAAAACATCTTATATTTCTACCTATTTGGCAAAAGCTACTGGTCACCAGGCAGGGAACAGGAATTCTTTCTGTGCTTAAAGCTGAAGAAGGAACTATTACTGGAGCTGCACGAGCAGTGTTAAAGCAGAAAAGTACTTTTCCAGAAAGATGTTCAGTGATGGTATGGTGTGTGCACATGGAAAGCAGATAGGATTATCGTCATTTAAAATGGGCAGAGGAGAAAGATGCTGCAAGTTAGCAACTGAGGACTGCACCTCCATGAACTCTATGTGTAATAAAGTGTCTATATTGCAAAATAGGAATGGGAGGAGATTAAAGTTCAAAATGAGTGACTACATAAGTTTTCTTCACCTGCTTTTGTGTTTGTTTTTCTTTCAAGCCTTTGTATGGGTTACTTCAGGCAAAGCTGCAACTCATTACACATGCGTATTTTGAAGAAAAAGACTTCTCACAAATTTCAATTCTAAAGGTAACTTTTAAGTAATGGTCACACAGTATATGGCTACAGACTTCAGTGTGTTTAGTGCTCAAATACTCCATTTGCACAGATCGTTCAGTTATTCAGCTCTTGTAATAACTGAATGTGAACTATCCTAATCTGACAGAGGGTCAACTTTCTGATTTATAATGAAATACAAGAATATGATTGTCAGCCTCTATCTGTGTTTACTTCATTAGTAAAACTATACTTTCTTTCTGGAATATAATGTTGAAATACTTGAGTAAGTGAACTTTATTTATTCTGGATTTTGTGTGACCGTGTGCCATTGACAGCTTCTGGGGTTTTTTGCCTTTGTTCTAACTTTTACAGGAACTTTATGATCACATGAATAGTTCCTTGGGCAGTACTTTGCTAGAAGGATCACAAGTTTATCTTGGTAAGTGGCTTTTTTTGTACAAGCGGCAGAGATAATGTTACGCTAATCAATACATTCTCTTCCTGAGCTAATTTGTTTATGTGCATTAACAGATTAAGCACCAGAGGTCTGTGTGCCTGCATAGTATTCCATTATGCGTTTCTTTATTAATGGATTTAAATAACTGTCAAATAAATGTAGTGTTGCTTTCGTAATAGGAGTTCACTGTAGGTTGAAAGCCATGTTACCTCTTGACCTAACAGTCTGGCAAGCAACTGCTTGGCTGCTTTTGGGAAACAGTGCCTTCTTAATTTTTAGATGGAACTGTTTGATGGTATGGTGTGCTCAAGCTTTTGTCTACCTGCTATTTGGGATATCTCCCATTTGATTCTGACTCTTCCTTGTGTTTTCTGAACGCACAGTGTAGTATTTACTTCACGTGTTTCCATAACACTGTGCGGCAGCCAACAGGAGTGACTCGGAGTGTGACTATTCACGTCATTATTTGTCTCCATTGTAGATTTAACTCTTGCTCCTGCTCAAAACGAGGAATTTGATATGAGTTCCCATATTGAAATAACCAGGTTCACATAGAATGCGTACTGTGTGTCCCTCTCACCCTGAAAAATGGTGGCAAGAAGTAAGTTAGTATCTCTACTAGCTATTAAACTGTAATAATTGCTCTCTTTTTGGTACTGCAGGTCTGTCTCCTCGAGATCTTGTTCTTCACTTCAGACACAAGGTAGGCATTCTCTGCTAGATATATCAAGTACAGCACTTATTTTGTGGAGTAAAATGCTTTGTGAGGAACAGAAGAAAAAACCTCTCTAGACATACCCGAGCTAGGAGTAAGAAGAGTGTTTTCTGAGTGCTGCTGATTACAGCCTCTTGCTTTCTGTTCCCCTTATACCTGCCTAACTTCCCAACTGAGAAGTTTTGTCTGTCTGCTGGATTCCATAGAGATTTCTAGCTTTGTGTGACATTTCTTTAGTCCTGTCCCAAAGCGTAAGTAGTATCTCAGTTACGGTCTTGTTTCTGTTTCCTGCTTCTCATCAGATGAATGTGATAGAAGAATATTACTGAACTCCCTGCAGACACAACTTGGAACGTTTTTCCCTGTATCTTGTAATTTTTGCAGCTTCTGCCATCATAGAACCTGAGGGGACTTGCACCTCTCCATCTATTTCCTGATGACTATTGAAATTGGGTGTGTATCCTATAGCTAAGGTGTAAATAGCGTTTAGGATCTCTTACTAACTGAGGGGCATCAAGGAAACAAATTTGAGAATCTGGGTTTCATGGTGTATTTACAGCTGCTCAGTAGATTGTTTTGGAGTAGAACTCATTTTTGTTTACCGTTAGATGTCTGCCAATCATGCCCCAGAAGTGTCTGTGTTTTTTGTTTGTGTGTAGAGAGTCTGGGCAGCCCACTTCTAATCTAGATGCCTAAGATTAGGTGAATGCTATTCTTGGTATTTTGCTGAATTCTTTTCTGTATTTCTGTGGAAGAACTCTTTATGTTTATGCAATTTACTGTTTTTTAAAATTTTGGAATTACACATGTTCTTTCTGGTAAGCTTTGTATGATTCAAATTACACAAATCTTGTTTGTGCAGGGTTTTTTTGTGCCTCTCAAATGCTATTTTAAAATGAGTGCTCAGGTGGAGAAAGGATATTGGAACTGATTTCCACTGGCCCAAATGTATTCCATCATTTGATAGTTAGGCGGTGATTAACGTGAATTCTTGAATGAGAGATTATGCTTGCACGGTGTTTTTGAGAAATGGCACTGGTTCACTCACCATGTTTTTCCTTTTTGTGTTTTTTCAGGTCTTGATCCTTTTTAAATTGATTCTTCTAGAGAAAAAGGTAATGTTTTGTAGGCTGAGGCAGATAATGGAAATAGAAATGCGAATGTTTAAATTTTTTTCACGTGAAGTTATGTAGAATATACTAGCAAAAACCAAATTAAAGTAAAATAAAAGTATTGGAAGTCATATAAACAACTTTGCATCCATATATAAATTGCTAAAAGCAACTGCTGCATGTTTAAGGTGTAAATTTACCTCCACTTCTGTTCTGTCCACACTCTGCCTTACTAATAGCTATCCTGGCCAGAGTAAGTAAAGTGTGATTAAATGTGAGTGGAGAAACTGAACATATTATAAAAGATAGGAAAGGATGTTCATAATGCAAATAGGTACCTGTGTGAAGGAACGGATAGGAAGTGCTGGTACCTAAAAGGCAGCATACAGCTTTACAGGGATTCAGTACATAGAACGTCTGCTTCAGGGTTTAGATAGGCACGCCAAAGGAAACGGGTGCTAGAAGTGTCCTTTGGACCTGAATTGCATGGACACCTGCAGGATACAGTGTGCAGAGCTGTATCTGTTAGGTCAGGCTGAAGTCAGATTATAAATTGGTAAAAACAGTTGAATTCTACACTCAGCTTTCTTTCGGCTATCTTGCTGCCTCAGAAGCAATGCTGTCTCAGTGGTTTAAGTGGAATATGCAAAATGCGCAAGCAGACATGAAACAGTAGATACACTTGTTTTCGTCTGTGTCTATATTAATACCCTGGAACAAGAACTTCCAGTGAAATGACTATGTATTAGCTCCCAGACGCATTTATGCAGGGATTTCTTTTTTGTTTTGCTTTTTTAAAATTTTTTTTAAAGTTTTGCTTCAGTTTCCCAAATGTCACTTTTTCTTCAGAGAACCTGCTGTGTTAAGACCCAGCTTCTTCGGAGTGCTGAGAAGGAATATAAGAATTTCCTGTTAGCTGCAACTGGAAAGTCAGTTGGACTTAAGATATCAAAACAGTTGTGTTTTTTTTAAAAAGTCTATATCCAAGGCCTATGTATCTTTTGTGAAGCAGTAAATGCAGCTTTTAAACATAGAAGTAGCAGCTTCTCTGAAGCTTTTGCACTTGTCACATGGTTCTATAAGTTAGCTATACCTTGACAGTTCTAAGTATTTATTGATGAGAATCAATGCAGTTTCTGCATTAGAGCCATATGCTACAGATTGCTGTATTAAAGGCTATGCAAAAGGTATACTTGAGTAAAATATGATTATGACAATGTAGGAGTATACATGTAGAAATATATGTAATCAAGACTTGATATGCAAGCTTTTCCCCAAAAGTAACTTAATACATATGGGAAGTCTACAGTGATTTTTTTTCTTTTTTTTTTTTAAAAAAAAAACCTGTAAGTAGAAAAAAAATTTTGCAGTTAAGATTTTGTAAAGTATCTCTACTGATCTGTTTAAAAACTTAAGATAGCATTTCATCAGGTCAGTTCAGCATTTGGACATATATAAACAAAACACTTTACTGAGCTACAGTTCTTTTCTGAGGCTGCTCAAACCACAAGACATAAGTACACAGGAAGAGGAGACAGGGAGGGTTTCCCAAGGGTGTTCATACAACTCAAACACATGACATTTGTTTTGAAAATAAACTGGATACTTACTGAATAAACCTGCAGCTTGCTTTGTTTCTAGTTTTCCCTGAACTCTAACAGGAAGACAACACTTGCAGTTTCAAAAGGAAGAGATTTGGTTCTCTGGCACTGCCTGTTTTCTGGCAGACGTTAAGGTTCCTGAATAACTGTGGGAATCTGTACGTTCAAAGACCTTAAATATAACATGCAAGAAGCCACTAGTAATGCCAGTTTTCCTTGAGCTGAAAAGTGCCTGAATGCCACAGACCGATTTCCTTTAATCCTTAGTAATTTGCTTGATGACTTTCCACAGGCTAAAGGAATTTTTTTCACATCTCAGCTGTTATTAGGCTGGAAGACTACTTCCAGATGGTGATCATTTGGCTTTCTGCTGCCCAGACCACCCAGTTTGCTGATATAAATGTTGTAGGCCATATAACAGGGTTGGGAGGGGTACGGAAGTGTGCACCCATATCGACGGAAAGATGTCTGAGTGACTTGATGGAACAAATGTGGAAAAGTACTCTGCTTAAGTAAGTGGTATATGCAAACAAAAATGTAGATTGGAATAGATTTCTGGAAAAACAAGGTACTTCTTTATAGGCTTAATTATTCCTCTAGGCTTAAAAATAAGTTTGGCTAGAAATACATGGCATCTGAGAATCTAAACCTGTAGGGGTATTTCTGCTGTAGTTCGTTGCTATTATATCATGCATCTTTCAGACCTGCGCTATAGAGCAGCATCTTAAAAGAAGGTAGACTCCTATTGCCATTGGAGTTAGCCAAAATTCTTTCCTCAGATCAGCTGCCTGTTTTTCTCGTCACACTTTTTCTGTGGCTGTTGCAATTTGAATTCACCTATCTTGAACCCAGAAAAAAGTAAAATTGTACGAGATAATAGACATAATCTATTTCTAGCTGAGGTACTATTAAACAGCATTTGGTAGGGGTTAGTACTGCACAGGTCTTTGTCTCGGTTCCATCAATTCACTAGCTTGTGGGCTTGCAAATTCTGCCATCAGAACATGAGTTGTTATTCATCAGTCACTTTTGAAGTGTCTTCCTAGCTTACAGCAGAAGGCTTTTATTAAGTCTGAGTCTACAAACTTGCACTTTTAATTTCATCATATACCTATTAAACTGGCCTGCAAAGTCATCAAGTTAGATAATTCTGTATTGCTTTTGCATTGTTGATTTCTTGTAATGCTCATGTATTTTTTACTAGTATTGTGCTGCCTGAGGATATAAAAATTGCATTGTTAAACAAATTTGACTTTTGTAGGGGTGTTCGGTTTTGGATTGTTTGGTTTTATTTGTTGTTTGGGGTTTTTTTTTTGCCTTTCCTCCCCCTGAAGGCCTGTTTTCAGTAGTAATATTCAGGCTGCCTCGTGCTTCTTCTTTCATTGCTAGCCTTTGACACCCACTTTTGAATTCCTAACTAATTTACTAATCCAAATCTCTCTGATTTAATTAAGGAGATTCTCTTTTCCTATGTTACTCCTTAAGTGCTTTACCAAAGTTAGTATCAGCCATGTCTTCTGTTTCCAAAAAGATCTTTTTTTAATCACAGGAAGATACCTGTAATAAATGCATGCTGCATTTATCCTGTTTTTCATTTATGTACATATCTCTAATATATATTCTTAGATGTTTTTGCATGGGTTTTTGTCAGAATTCTGATTATTCAGAATGGAGATTATTTGGCCTCTGGTTTATAAGAGAGATTTTAATGTACTACAAATGGACAAGAATTTGTGTGGTGTGCCAGGAGGAACTTTTTTCTGTCAGTCATTCAGTTACTGACATTTTTGGGAAAAAAAATCTGAACAACTGGCAGAAAAATCTGAATGATTGGCAAGTATATATTACATACGTGTATATATATAAAAACATACATATTACAAATATAAAATACAAGGATACAATAGCCATATTTAAACATTTACCTTGAACTGTTGTAAGAGCTTTTGTGGGTAAGCAAACTTTCTAAAATAACATAAAATGCAATGCCTTGAATAGTTTGCATGTGATCTGTCTATCTTTGTCATGCTGAAGTGTAATTTTATTTTTCTCACTCTCTCCTCCCTAATTTCCCCTTTCCTCTCTTGCATGCTGTTTTCCCCTACCCACCTCCCCACCCCACCCCCTTCTGCCACCAGGTGCTGTTTTATATTTCTCCAGTAAATAGATTGGTAGGAGCTCTGATGACTGTCCTGTCCCTCTTTCCTGGTAAGAAGAGAAGTTTCTACATCTTTTTATATACTTTTTGGTGATAACTGAGACTGACTATGCTGTTTCATTTGGAAAACAGCTTATGTGACAACAGAGTTACGTTGGTTTGTTGCCTGAAAAATGGATGACTTATATGCACACCCATGTACTATGTGCATGTCTCCTAGTACTTACTACTTGCACTCTATGGGTTGTTTCTTGTGCTTAATCAGAGCCACTGCATCTTCGTCTTGTCTGTGGGTATCATAGATGGGACCCTGAATAAGTCACGCATTCCTGTTGAGTTCCTTAAAAAAAAAAAAAAAAAAAGAAAAGAAAAAAAGAAAAAAAACCCAAACAAAACCAAAACCCCCTAACCTTGCTAGTTCTTAGCTTCTAACTGGTCTTCTCAAAGCAAAAAAAAATTTGGGCAGATTCTTTAGGTGAGAAAGTGTGGGGTTTGTGGTTTTTTGGTTGTGGTTTTTTTTTTTTAACACCCCTCCCCCCCAAATAGTGTTTTGCAAAATGAAAATCATGTTTTTTAAAAGAGCATTGTTCATTTTCTTTAACAAAAGTCACTTAAATGTCAATTGAGATGCTGATATTCATGCGTGTTGTTGCTTTCCAGGTATGATTGAACATGGTCTTACTGACTGCTCACAGTATAGACCAAGAAAGAGCATATCAGAGGATGCTGGCTTGCAGGAAAACACACCGCGATTAGATGGCTATGTTTCTGTGTCTGCTGCTGATACTTCAGATGCAAACTTAGGAATGGGAAAAGGAGGCAGCAAGATGGCAGGAAACCATTCACTGGAAGATCAAAAAGCAAATGTGCCTTTCTCCCAGTCAGAGAAGACTTGCAATGGAGCTCAGTCCTCCAATGGTACTGTGCAGCGCTTGAAAGTTCCTTCCCGCACTTCTCCAGCATCCTCTGAAAGTGACTGGGAGACCTTGGATCCTAGCATTTTGGAGGAGTCTAATTTGAAAGAAGGAGAACGTGAAAATACAGCATCAGAAGCAGCTGAAAATCTTCTGAGCAAAGGCATGAAATCAGAAAGCCTTCCAATCACTGTGCAGCCCCAAGCAAATACAGGACATGCGGTGCTTGTTCCAGGACTGATATCTGGGTTGGAAGAGGACCAGTACGGTATGCCGTTGGCTATTTTTACAAAGGTAAGCATGTTGTTTGTGTTACCTGGTAACTCATAAAGACGCCTGTTTTTCAGAAGTGGCTAATAATTTTGGTTACCCAGCTCCAAAGGGACAGTAGGGTAATACAAGTCACATAAGCGCGGTCTCTGGTATGTGTCTGTGTTCCTAGGCAGGTGGAAAGTGTAAGTGCACGTCTGAGGGGTGTGCGCATGCACACGTGCATTCCGTTTTTCTTTTGTGTGTACGCTTACCTACTGTTTGCAATTCTGCGTGATGGTAACCTGTAGCCCCACTGTGGTTAACAAGTGATATGTATCAGTAAGTACTATTTTCTTTCACTCTGAAGAATTGTTGATGTAACCTATATGGGGCAAGATCAGAGTACTTCAGGAGTGTTTAGATACCTTAATCTATTATACTGATTCTGAAAACTATATCTTAGCTGACACCGAAGCCTGTGTTTTCCTCTCAATTTTTATATATATATATGTATTTATAAATGTGTGGTTTTGTATATATGCACAAAATGTGTATATAAGTGTGTGTATATAGATACACAAAAAAAATATAAATATATATATATAATGTCACCCTTCTTTACACAATGACTTTTCCTGGTTGTCTGTGGCTTTTTCCTTGTGCATGGTGCTGAGCTGGTGAATTTTAAGATTGCGCTGATGCTTAACTGAACTCCAGGTATTCCAGAGTCTCTCTAAGGACTGTGATGGGCATTGTCAGATAACAAGCAATACATTTACTAGGGCTGGTTCCCTATAAAACCAGGAAAAATGCATCCCTTTTAAAGATAATTTATGTCAGTAAAAGAAGTGATGTAATACATTGTTTTGTTTTAATGTAAAAATCTTTTAGATGAGAATCTGCCCAGAAAGTAGAAGATTCAGATTTATTTCCTCAAGCTGATGAGGTTCAAAGTGGTGTTTCTTCCTTTGAAGGTGCTTACTTGCGTTTCCTTGCAGAACATTATATTTGGTGATTGTGTTTGAGCTTCTCCAGTAACCTTCATTGAACGTGGCATGCTACCTGGGCCCAAGTGAGCAGCTCAAATGTCATTGCCCTCTATTGCCTCACATCACTGTTAGAAATGCTTTTTCAACAAAGGTCTGCAGTCTGGGGTTTGTCCTTATGGTCTGTCTGATGAAAAGCCTGTAAATTGTATTTAACCTAGTTCTGTTAAAAATACTAGACTGAAAGCAAAAAGAAAACTGGTAAGGGAAGGGGACCTACGAGTGCAAACTTAGTTTGCTACTAAGCTTGTAAAATGGAGTAGTAAGCAAATTTTAAGGAAGTTGACAGTTTCTACAAGTTTACCTTCTGTTCCACAAAGGCACTCTTCACTTAAGTTCATCCAATGTAATTAAAGCAGAAAAGGCTTTGCATCTCTCACGTTCTCAGAAAAATGTGACTCGAAGTTACAGTTTAACCACTTGCTGGAAAGTTTAAACCTCTTTTAGAGTTCTCATCTCTGGCTTGTTTTATGCCATGCCTTGGAAAGACTAATAAATATGACAGTTTTGAATGGGAGGAGATTCTGCCAGATGGCATAATACTTTATCTAAGTACACCTGAGCATAAGGAAAAATAGATTGTGATACTTGTTTCTTTAGTACCAGTTCTGTAAGATATAATACTCATTTCACTTGCATTCTTTTAAAAAGAATGGAACACGTTCATGAAAGTAAAAGTTGTTATACTTACAGTCAAATGTGAATTTGGGAACTGACACTTAATACTTCAAATAGTGAAAGATTTCCAAGACTGCTACTTGAGTGTACAGTAATTAAACCTTCCTTCGCCAGCTTCTTAAGCCACATTTTTTGAAAATTTTCCATTTTAGGTTTGTGATTCCTCTCAAAGCACCGTTGTTCCTTTGACGCAGGCTGTTTGTTTTCAGCTGATAAGTGCTTGTCATCTGGAAAGGCCATCCCTGTGTCTGATACAACAAAAGGGAATAGTTGTGCTGCTTTCTTCCATATGTTTCCAGTTACCATCCACTGTGTGATAAAGTGCATGTGCTCTTTGTTTCTGTCCAGTACGCCGTCAGCCTTCTGGGGTTCTACTAGTGAATAAATTGCTTTGTGCTTTATGCAACTGAAAAGCTGGAATTAGACTTCAGTATTAGACTTCACGGCTATGTTGATCCTATATTTAAAAAGAAAATTACAATACCTGCAGCTGCTTCTCAATGATCTCTCAATGACTTACCTCAAAGCCTTTTCTCAAAATGTTTGGGCTTTTTAAATTGGCGTGTAGGATACTAGATTAACACAAGCATGGAGTGGCTAAAAAGCACAGCGTATTGCTTTCTGTCCTGCTCTTTAACGCAGGCATGCATGTGCTTATCAAAAATTGATTGCTATCTCTGGAGCCTGGAAGTCTCGACCTACAAAATGTGGCTAGCAGTCTGTAGCTTCCCTACATTATGTGTCTTAGCACTACCAGAAGATGTCATGGTACACAGGAGGAGAGATGAGTATCTCCACTGACTACTTGTCTCTGAACTGACCCGAGACCTCACTCTTGTTTAAACTGCTTATTCTGTTACCTTGTAAGCACGTTTGATTCGTGTCCTTTGCATTGTGTTTCAGTTTCAGTCCTGAGACTGAAAGGCAACACTACCTCTTGAAAAACTGAATTCATGTGGAATCTGGTTGCTTTGCTTTGCAGATGTAATGTAGCAAAACAATAGATAATCATGGCTGAAATGGTAATAACTAAGCTTCGTTCCGGATGGAATGTACTGGCTTTTATTAGGAAAAGCTCTGAATACAGACAATTATTTTTTTTCTGACCTAATGTTAATCCTCTAAATATCTCTGTTACTTTAGGGGTACCTTTGTTTGCCATACATGGCACTGCAGCAGCATCATCTCCTGTCAGATGTAACAGTCCGCGGCTTTGTTGCGGGAGCCACCAATATCCTATTCCGTCAGCAGAAACATCTGAGTGATGCAATCGTGGAAGTATGAATCTTTGCATTTGAACTTTTTGAACAAGAGAGGGGAGTGGGGGGGAGTAGAGGTTGCATTTTAAATATAGCTTTAAAGTTTCACATTTATGCCCAAATTCTGAATTACTTCCCTATGAAATACATTCTTTAATGCAGAAGCTTGTTAAATTTGTATCATTCGTTACGACAGGGTTAGATAAGCTGTGCAAAACTAATACATGGGGGTTTGTATATTCTTATATCCAATATTTGAATTTGTAGGGCACTTCTAAATTTATAATTTTTGCTGGTGTAACTTCTCATGTAATGGGCTTTTTCATGACTTTGTAATAAGGTCTTCACAAATAAGTGCTTGCAGCTGAGAAATAGGTCCAGTTGGATAATAAAGCACATTGCTTGACTAAATCAGAACGAAGTAAATAGAAGTTAAAAGTAATATTTAAGAAGACACTGTGTCAGTTCTAGCAAATAGATACAACTCTATAATCAGCATTTGGTAACCTAAGGTAGCTCCATATGGGTAACCAACTTAATAAATCAAAGTGATAAGTAGAGAGCCTCTAGGAAAATACATGTGAACACCAAACTTCCCCTGCCAAATCCTGTCAAATAAGCAGTTTTTACTATACGCCAGGAAGATGATCAGATTCTGGTTATATCAGAGCAGTAGCTGACTTCCTGAGAACAGTTAATTTGTTATTTCTTTGGCCATTTGTTTCTTCTTGATATTTTGGGGGACTGTGGGTTTTGATTTAGATAGCAACATACATTTATTTAGATAAATATGTACCCTTGGAATTATTTCAAACAGATAGAAGATGCTCATGTACAAATCCACGATCCAGAGCTCCGTAAGATCCTGAACCCAACAACTGCTGACCTGAGATTTGCAGATTACTTGGTGAAGCACGTAACTGAGAACAGAGATGATGTTTTCCTTGATGGCACTGGATGGGAAGGAGGAGACGAGTGGATCAGGGCTCAGTTCAGTGCTTATCTTCATGCACTGCTTGCTGCTGTGCTGCAACCAGGTAGAATAGATAACTTGTCTGGGGACTGAGACGTGGGTGGATGTAGTAAGCATTTGCTCTGTGTTAAACATGTGGCCTATCACTGGATCTTCCTCTGTCTAATGTTTCATTTTAGACTGCTTTTTTGGTTGTCCTTGGCTATCCTTGTTATTCTTACTTCACAGCCTTGCAGACACTTTCTTCTTGTGGGTGATGTGGTGATTGGAGGCCGTCTTGGGCATAGCGATCATGAAATGATAGAGTTTTTGATTCTCAGAGAGGTAAGGAGGGGATTCAGCAGAGCTGCCACCTTGGACTTCCAGAGG